CAGAGAAAGGACTGAAAAATCTCCAGTGTCTCTGCAGTGACCTTTTGGGCATTATCAATCTAACATACCTATAATCCAAGTCCAGAAAGGGGACAGGAGCTGGAAAATATTCAGAACTTCAGATATGAAACTCAGTGAACCTCTGGCAGAGTGGACACAAAGGAAATCACTGCCCCTCATCCGGGAAGCGGCCAGAAAACATGGCATGCTGTGAACGGGATAAAGAGACGAGTGACTGCTGACTTCTCATCAGAAACCATGGAAGCCAAGGCTCAAAGGAGCCACCTCATTCCTGAAACTGCTGGAAGACAAGTGCTTTTATGGTGAAAGTGAGCAAAAAGCCACAGAGATTACAGCCTGGCGAAAGTGGGGGCGGGAGAACAAGTATCCTTAACAAGAGCGAGGAGAACTTACTGAGAAGCAGACCTGCCCTTGAGGAACTATCAACAGAGGTTCTTGATATTGAAGGAAAATGATAGCAGATGGAAATGTGCTTTTTTGCACCAAGGGACGAGGGGTACCACAGCGGGGAATGAGAGCAGGCATAACCGCAGAAGACGTCTTCTAAGTTGTAATGTTCTTAAAGTAGCTTTGACTGTTCAAATGAGGAAAAATACCAACTTGTGTAGGCTGCAGTGTATCTAGCAGGAAAATGCAGCCCCATACTAGAGAACTGTGGGCGGGAGAGGGAATGGTTCAGCATTAGTGAGCTGAGGTCCTGCCCTTGAGGCCTTGGCAACAAGAAGACCAAATGAAATTGTATGTAAATTGTATGTAGAAAATGACAGAACAGAGTGGTAATGAAAGAACTACACTACCAAGCACACAAGAAGGCAAATTAAGAAAACAAAAGATCCATCTGCTTCTAGGTAGGATAATCCAGGAAAAGACAGGAGTGAAAGAGTTCTTACCATTCAGACTCTGCAGACGCTACAGTGACAAGGGGAGCCGGCTCGGAGCACTCGGCCTTGATGTGATGCGACTTCTGCCCATGCTGACACAGACAGACGACAGTGCTGCTGGTAGGGGCCATGGACTCGAGTCTGACTCATAGTGACCGTTGGTGGCACCTCCCCCGCCACCCCCATCACCACATGGTCAGGTACAGGTTGTAGATGCCGATCCATAGACTGCCCTGTGGGGTGATGCATGGTCATGTGACATTGTTAGCTTCCATTGCAAATGGCAGCCAGGATCATGGCTGCTCTATCCCAAGGGTCTCTTCTCTTTGTGAATAGACTTTTCCAGGTGGTTCTGCTCTGGTTTTCTGTGCTCTAACCACATCTACACTTTCTAAGTACCTGGAGTGTGGTCTGTGGTCTGTTGTCTGTGAGGGGAAGGACCAGGCTTCACCCCTAGACTTGCTGTACCTTTCTCAAGGCGGATTTGCTTGTGTTTCCAGCAGGAGGAACAATGAGCTGTGCTTCAAAACATGGTTTGTAGCAGTCATTCTCCTGGGAGACAGAGAACAGGAAGTGACATGTGGGCACTTTAAAAATCAGACCCTTTTCAAGATACTTACATTAAAAGAATATTGTAAGAACACGTTACACAGTGTGCTTTCTACATTTAGGGAATTGTCTATTTTTCCTTCTGAAGTTGGTGGTGGTGGTTATGTGCCTTGGAATCAGAACCGACTCATAGCGACCCTGTACAGGGTTTTCGAGGCTGTAAATCTTTACGGGAGCAGAACGCCTCATCTTTCTCCCATGGGAACAGCTGGTAGTTTCAAACTGCTGACCCTGAGGTTCGCAGCCCGATTCGTAACCACTACGCTACCAGAGCTCCTTGGACAAATAAATAACATCATGATAAATGGTGTAAAGATTGAAGTTGTCAAAGATTTCATTTTGATCAGCCCTGTTAACCCAGTGTACCAAGGGAGTGGGAATGATCCTTTTGAGCTTTTGAGCTACTACATACATAAGTATAGCAATTTGTAGCAGATTACTCTTTTTTCCCCTCTTCTTTCTTTTTCTAGTTGAGGTCTGATCATTCAGCCATTGAAGTCAGGTCATCTGGGTACTATATACAAGTATGGGTGTTCTTGTCTTTGAAATGTTCTGCTCAGCTCTTTCACGTCTTCTCTACGTTGGAGAGCAAGTTTCAGAGTCTCTTCTGACATCCATTTTGGTTTTTTCTTTCTTGTCGTCTTAGTGATCTTTTGATTTCTTCCTGTATGATGTCTTTGATGTCATTCTACACCTCTTCTTTGTTACTTAGTGTCTAATGCTTCAAATCTGTTCTTTATATGATCTCTAAATTTAGGTGGGATAATGATCAAGGTCATATTTTGGCTCTTGTGGATTTGTTTTAATTTTCTTCAGTTTCATCCTGAACTTGCATGTGAGCAATTGATGGTCTGTTCCACAGTCTGCCCATGGCCTTGTTTTGGCTGATGATATCCCTCCATATTCTTTTGATGCATCATTGAATATTTTGCCCAGAGGAATCCTTCAATATGGCAAGTCAAGGTTTGAATTTTTTTTTTTTTCTGGTTTCCTCAGCTTGAAAAATGCAGAGGGTGTTCTTCCCTTTTGGTTTTCTAACTCCAGGTTTTGCACATTTTGTTATAATATTTGCCTTTGTCTTCTTGAGCTGAGGTTGAATTTGGGTTGAGAGAGAGGGCAGCCTGAAATAGTTTCAACTTTGTCACACTCACAGGCCTTGTGTTCCCAGCATGCCACGACCACACGGGGAGCTTATACCCAGGGACAAGGCAACAAACACCACACTGGAATTGGTGTTACTGGTTGCCCAGTGGACTCCAGCACACATGGCCGTCCCTGGACAACAGAACAGATGCTGTCCACTGCAGCACCATTCGTCTGGCAACGTTCTGTCATGTGATCTCTAGCATTGTTTCTATCACCAAGGCCTTATCTTCCAACGATCCATCCTTCCTCTTTGTTTCCAACCTTTGCATTCCATTCGCCAGTAATGATCAATACGTCTTGGTTGCATGTTTGATCAATTTCAGGTTGAAGAAGTTGGTAGAATTCTTCCATTTTCTCATCACTGGCTTTAGTGGTTGGTGCATAGATTTAAATAGTAGTGGCATTAGCTGGTCCTCCTTGTTGGCATATGGATATTATCCTGTCACAGACAGTATTGTACTTCAGGACAGATCTTGAAATGTTCTTTTTGATGATGAATGCAACGCCATTCCTCTTCAATATGTCATTCATGACATGGTAAACCATGGGATTGTCAGTTTCAGCGTGGTCAGTAGCAGTCCATTTCAGCTCACTACTGCCTAGGATAGTTATGTTTATGCATTCCATTTAATTTCTGACAAGCTCTAATTTTCCTAGATTCATACGTCACACATTGCATGTTTTGATTATTAATGGGTGTTTACAGCTGTTTCTCTTCATTTTGAGTTGTGCCCCCTCATCAGTAAATGAAGGTGTCATCATAGTCAGCTCTACTTTGAGGAGGCAGCTTTTCCCCAGTCGCATTTTCAGTGTCTTCCAACCTGAGCCGCTCATCTTCTGGATGCTCTCTGACAATATACGGGTGCTCTTCATCATGTTTCAGTAGTCAGACTGGTGCTATCCGACAGTGTTCCACTGCTGTTTATAAGGGTTTCAGAGGCTAAATATTCGGAAGTAGTCCATGTCTCCTCCCTAGTCTGCCTTTGTGTGGAGCTCAGCTGAAACCTGTCCATTGTGGGTGACCCTGCTGGTATTTCAGATACCCGTGGCATAGCGTCCAGAATCACAGCAACATGCAAGTCACCATAGTAGGGCAAACTGACAGACTGGTGGTGGACAGCCCCTTGTAACCACTAATAAACTCTGTCTCTTTACTTGGGTCTATTCTAGATATCTCATATAAGTCTCTTATGTAAGTGGAATTGTACTTAAAAGGTGGAACCCATATGAGTGGGATCTTCTCCTTCTGAGTCGGCTTACTTCTTCACTCACCTGATGTGTTCAAGGTTCATCCCTGTCGCCGTGTGTATCAGATCTTCCTTTCCCTCCATTGTGTGCACAAAGAAGCTTTTTTACGTTTAACTAGTTTCAGACCTCTACTCCAGATTGCTTTTCTAACTTTTTAATTAGCAAGTGAAAATTATTAAATAAAATTTTAAGTTCCACAGCATTAAAAATGTATTGTCTTCTCATTTATTTCGAAGTTTCAGAATGCTGTATTAAATAAAATACTACTGCTAAATTTCCTATTTGAAAAACAATAGTCAGGTGTTTTAGTGTTAACATAATAAAATAATTAATTTTTTCTTTTGGAGAATGTTATCTTTAGACTTAAATTTACAGTCTCTGCTACATTTTGTCAAATAATGTCTACTTTAAAATTGGGTTCAAAATCTATACAAAAATTGCATTTAACAATTTTATGTATACTACCGATTACTATTCAGTTGGAGGTTTCTTGGTCACATTATCTGGTAAAAAATTATTAAACAGCTTTGTAAATGAAGGTTTTCAAGTTGGGGTATCTTTCCCATCCCACCAAGATAATGCATCTAGATGGATATTTACCCAGAAATAATGCACGTCCTTGCAGCCACAATTCTTTTGACCATAGCATTTTGCAGGATTCCTGTGGAGCAGAAATTAATGTATTCCATGGGAGATTTGCATCTTTAAAGTGGAACTTACATGTTGGCAAGGCTTTAAAAGGAAAGTATTTGCATAAATGTTATGTCTGTAGCTAGTAATTTTGAACATTCATTCCAGTGTTGGAAGATATTTTTGCTTGAATAAGAACTTTTCCTGACGCTTTGCTCCAAGAGGACGCATAATGACCCATAATCTTACATCTTGCTCGCTGATGACTGCTGTTTGAAATGACTTTCACTCCACATTTAATGCGTCTATTTCCTTCCTCACAATTGTGTTTTTCTCCTTAGATTTGGTACAAGTCCTGGATCTATTGTATGTATTATAGTTCCTTCTCTTATGGTTGTTTATATAAAGCAGTCAAATTACTTACCTTAACATATGCTTAAAAGTTACGTTTCCTTCTCTCTTCAGGAAGTGCTGGTGATCATTCGGCTTCTTGATGTGCTCTGTGAAATGACTGCTCACAGTGCCCTGCTGACTTATCTTCAGGCCTTCCCAGACTTGCTGGAACGAGTGATTGGTGAGTGAAGCCACGTTTGGTTACTCCAGCTGTCAGTGAGAGAAACAAAGGCTCCAGGGTAGAGCTAGGTGGGTTGCTTCTCTCCATAGGCCCCCAGAGTCTGCCTCCCACTCCCCGCTTTAAGGTCACTGTCTTACTGTGAACGGTCGCACTGGCTTTTGTAAAGATTCACCTCAGGTGATTGTGTCAGGATCAGCAGGTGAGGTAGCAGGTGAGATACTGGTGCCCCATCTGGGTGCTTTATTGTGATGAGTACTTTGATTGAGAACTAAAACCCCATGTTTGGTAAGGCGGAGGGTCAGAGAAGAAGAGGAAGACCCCCAGTGAGATGGATTAGCCAAGTGGCAGCATCAATGGACTCAAGCGTGGCAACAGTAGTGAGGTTGGCCCAGGATTGGGCAGTGTTTTGTTCTGCTGTACATAAGGTCGTTACCGACTCGATGACACCTAACAACAACAACAACAATAAAACCCCATGAGCCCAGGAGGCTCTGGATCAGAGTGGCAAGAACATGGATTTAGAGTCAGAAGAGACCTGGGTTGCTATCCCTGCTCTACCAAATTTCCAACTTTTCTGAGACCAATGTCTTCCTTCAAAGCTATGAAAATGATATTTACCTTTAATTAGTTTTTTTGAGGGGATTAAGTGAGATAATGTGAAACATTTGAACACAGCTCCTGAAAGATAATCTATTTCCATAGGCTGTGTAGAGGCATCTTACAGCGTGTGAGCACCTGGTTCCTTCTGATTGTCTGGCCATGGAGAAGAAGCAGGCACTCACCTTGGTTTCTGGCCTGCGGTTCAGTACACACGGGTATTGTCTGCAGACTGACCGGACTTGACTCACTAGAGGCGTTTCTTTGCAAAGATGTTGGAATTGGAGACTTTTTTGTAAGAAAGGCCTGATGGAAACTTTTTAGCGAATTATTTTTGTGGATAAGTATAAATTCCAAATTTAGGGTAATCATCAATGTTTCTTTCCCCAAAACTAAAATACAACCAACCTGATTAGATTTCAAAGACCAGGTCATTAGCAAAAACTAGCTATGTGAAACTAGAGAATGACCATATTAGATAAAAATGGACGATGGCTATACTGTTATGTAACTAAAGCCAAACCACTGAGAAAGGTGACTCATTCAGATGGACAGACGGCAGACACTACCACCAGTGGTACTGTCGTCTCCAGCATTGGCATTCGCTTTGGACTTACGTTGTTAACGTGCAAAATAGTAATTTTTTACTGTTGTTGTAAATGCAAAATGCCAGACAGAGATAGTTGATAGGCAAGGAGTCGGTGTAGTAGAGAATTTAAACCCCACACAGAAGAGCCTTCCAATGCAGGCAGTCCCTGGATTATGAGCCAGTGCCATTCCCTGGTCTATCTGTAAGTGACATTTGTATGTAAGTTGGAACGGTTAGGTAGGGTTGTATGATCTTAAATCAGTTAGTCTAAGATTTGTCTTAGTATATGGTGTGTGTACTGGGTTTTTCTATGCCTAAAAACAGTACGCATTTCGAGATACACTTGAGCGTCTGTAATGTAATAACGCAGCACTGCAACCACTCCTGTTTTGGTACACATGGCAAAGTAGCACCCGCTTGTTATTCTGAACCATTGTCTGAACCACAACATTCCCAGGCTGGACGGGGATTGGGTTGCATCCACAGGTTATATGTAAGTTGGATGTTTGTAAACCGGGCACTACCTGTAATTAGTTAAACGTTTTCTACAGTCCTTTAATAGCACAAAATACAAAGTTATTTTTCTCTGGAAAGTGAACTTCATTCTTTTTGTTTTAGATATTTTACGACTAGTTCACGTAGCTGGAAAAGATAGTACAAACCTCTTCACTCCCACGGGTTGTATCAAAGCGGAAGGTGACATCTCAAGTGTGGCTGATGGGTTTAAGTCTCATCTCATTCGCTTGCTTGGAAATCTGTGTTACAAGAATAAAGCAAACCAAGACAAGGTAACCTGGTTTATGAGTACCTGTTACATGTTCATGGTGGTATTCAGAATTTAGAATGCACTCACTTTTCAGGGGCAAAAGTCCGAGGTGCTTAGAACGTAGCTTGTTAATTGCACATATACATCAACACATTTTGTTCTGACAGATAAGCATAAAATGCTGTATTTGTTTTTGCATTGAGGTTTGTAATTTTATAATTTTGCATTGTCTTTTACCACTTGTCTTGTGTTTAGTCTCCTTTCTTTTAAGTTGTCAGTGTTTATCCTAAGCCTCGTTCTTTTTACAAATACCACGTAGCATCCGTAGAAAAATATCTAGCACATCATAGACATGTAATTAATCGCAGTAACTGCTGGTCACTGGCCTCCTGGTGTAGTACTGTGGGATCAGCACAGGACTGCAAAGCGCAAGGTCGGCAGTGGAAAGGTCGCTAACAGTCAGCACTTAACAACTATATATACATACATATATATTTTTTCCTTGTGATAATGATCAGTGTTGTTTTTATGTGCAGTTGAATTGGTTCCTTGCGGTTCAAAGTAACCTTGTGGTCCAGTGCGTTATCCTTCAGTGTCATACCGGGATTCCACACACACACACACACACACACATGCAGACACACATAAGATATATGTATGTATATCTTAATGTTTATAGATGATCCCATTGTAACCCTTTTCTTTTAGGCTTTCTGAATTTATTTTCATTTACAGATTAAGTCTTTGGAAACTGCTGGGTTAGCATTGGAAGCCTATTTTGTGCTAACTAGCTAAGATGGAAACTACACTGACTCTGTGGGGGGCGATGCAGAATAGATGGTGAGAAAATCAGACCACCTGCCTACCACTGAAGTAGGGTTTTTAACCCTGGGACGGACGGTACTTGTTTTACGTCATCAGAGCTGGAGCATGTCTGACAGATGGTATTTTTGAAAGGTGGTTGTGAAAGTATCTGTCGTCATTCTCTGTGGTCCTTCTGCAGTGCACCCGTCCCGTCCTCCCATTGAGAGGCGGCATCTGTGTCGTCGTCCCCTGTATTGCTCAGAGAAGTCCAGGTGCTCTGACTGCTCGGAATGATAAACTATGGTGGGAGGACCCTGAATCTTTCCTGGGTCTGACAGATTCTAGTCCTGGTCTCTTAGCAGCCTGTCACTATGTTAGAAGTACAGAAATCCTGAGGTCACTGTGCTGTGAGTTTCTGCGGTCACATGGAGAAGCTCTGGAGGATGACATGCCACGAGGGGAGAGAGAGAGAGAAAATCGGCTCTGTGAAAACATGAACAGTCAGATTCTGGAGCTGAAGGAGGGAACAGCACGGTTCAAACACTGAGAGGAAATCGGCAGCCTTTCTAGTGTGAAGAATCAGAGGACAGTGTTCCAGCCATTGCAGTCATGGAGAAGTGAAGGGAGAGCCCTGCGTAGGAGAGAACAGACCCTAAAGTCTATGCATCTACTTCCAAAGTCTGGTTAATGCCTGAATTACACACACAAGGTTCATCACTTCGTAGGGGAATGTAACAGAATTCAATTTTCACACTACGTTAGTGTTGTTAGGGGCTGTTGAGTCAGGTTCAATACACAGGAAACCTACACACAACAGAACAAACACTGCCCTATCCTGCACCGTCCTCATGGTCAATTCATCTCATAGCAGGTCTTCCTCGTTTTCACTGACCCTTCTCCACAGACTGGTCCCTTTTGTAAACTTACTGAAAGTACACGTGACAGTCTCGTCATCCTGGCTCCTACGGAGCATCTCTACTACACTTCTTCCAAGACAGATGTGTCCGTTCTTCTGGAAGCCCATGGTGTGTGTAGTCAGGATTCTTCGCCAACACTGTAATTTAAAAGCATCACTTCTTCTTCAATATTGGGTGATCTACCATAAGGAGCTCTGGTAGCGTAGTGGTTACGAATCGGGCTGCGAACCTTAATGTCAGCGGTTCGAAACTACCAGCTGCTCCGCGGGAGAAAGATGAGGCTTTCTACTCCCGTAAAGATTTACACCCTCGGAAACCCTGTACAGGGTCGCTATGGGTCGGACCCGACTCGACGGCACTTAACAACAACAACGACAACCATAGCTTGGGTCAGGTGGACCTTCGTCTTCAAAGTGACATCTTGACAACCTTCACAGTGTCCAGGATGCAATCTGAAATGACTGGATCTACAGGGATGTGACCAAATCTCAAGATGAAAGGAAAGAGGAGACTGACTTAGGTGACAGACACTCGGCTTAGCAGACAGGTCTTTAAGGCAGCGGTTACAAATTGACACACTGGCAATGGGGCTTGGGTTTTAAATTATATAACTGCTCAAGTATGTAAAAGAAAATGCTTGTAGTGAACAAAAAGACGCGGAAATCGCAGCAGACAAGGTAAAAAATATAAAAAAGAATCAGATGGAAATTCTAGAACTGAAAAACATAGTACCTGAAATAAAAAGAGAAAAATTACTGAGTGGACTTAACTCGAGATGACAAAATACAAAGGGAGAGAATCGTGTGCTGCAAGAGTAAGCCGTCAAAATCATGCAGAGATGACTCTAGGAAGGTCATTCACAGACACTGCAGTTTGGGGTGATTTGATGCACAGCCATCAGTAACTCGAATAATTTTAAGAGACTACATTTTGGGTGATTTGATATCCAGCAGACAATAAATGCAAAAATTCTAAGGGGTGATTTTGAGGTACAGCAGTCAGTAACTGGAGTAATTTTATGGTACTCCATTGGGGTGAGGTGCGGTACATCAGTCAGTAACTGGAGTAAGCCTATGGGATTCCATTGGGGTGATTTGAGGTACATCAGTCAGTAACTGGAGTAAATCTAAGGGACATGGCACAGAAGCCGACTGCTCAGGCATCTACTGTAAGAAGGCGCCATTTGGCAAGTCTCTTCATTTCCAAGCAGCCAGGACTGTAAGACTACTAATCCCTCTTGGAAAAATCACTTAACTGATTTCTGCAAGCCCAACTTGATGAGAATGAAACACTTTCCCTTTTCAGTGACTTAATGATTCAGTCTTTCTTGAGGAACACAGGGAGAGGCCATTTTCATTGTGTTGCTAATGTCCACCGGGCATGAAGGGCCCAAATGCAGTAATGCTTAAACAGCTTCTGAGATAAGTCAATGCTTTCAGGCTCAGGTTGCTTTGTAGGTAAACAGGAGTGTGCCTGTGTGCTGCTGTACAGAGGCCCTGGGCTCTCAGAAGCAAGTCACTCCAGAGAGATCGAAAGACTCATCGTGTAAGTGTGAGAATCCATGCGGCTTCTTCCAGTCTCTCGCCTCTGCCAGCAAAAGACCCCACCCTAAAAGCATCACCTCCTTCCTTCCTTCCTTCCGGAGAGTCTGGCAGTGCGTCAAGCCCCATTGTGGGTGTGCTAGAAACTTTTCTACTCTGGGAGCTGAATGCTGACTCCAGGGGGGCTGTTAGATGTACTGCCTCCCGGGGTGGAGTTTTCCAGCACTCAGATGACTTTAGAATCACTCTGGGGGAAGTGGAGGGTGATGTGACATCTCTTTATTGGGGGCCACTAGCTCTCATTGCTTTCTCTAGATGGGGTGTCCCACGTGTACCCAAAGTTAGTTCTGTGTCTGTTCTAAGACTTCAGATCTGAGTTAAGAAGGATTTTGTATCAGCCTAACTTAGATTCACCCCTCACCCAGAAAACAAAAAAAGAGAGCTATGTGTTTGTTTAGTGTCTACCATGGTACCAGCTTTATGCTTAGTGAATTACATGTATTATCAAACTTAATCTTTGTATCAGCCTTGCAAAGCAGGTTCTGTTAGCCACGTTTTCCAGGGCAGCCCTGCAGGGACTGGGTGTAGAGGCCAGAGGAGAATTTGGGTCTGTCAGACTCTGATCTCTCCCCTGTCCCATGGTGCTTCTTGTTGGGGAGGTTTCTGAAGCTTTGGAGGAAAAACTGTGAAATGGGTTTTAAAGGGCTGTATGTTGGAGGCAGGTGAATCTGGGTCTGCTGGGCTTGTTCACCAGGCCTGCAGGCCTCCTCTTGGTTCCTCCTCTCAGCTTGTGACACATCTTCCTGGCATGGTCAGGGATTTCCTGTGAACCTTTTCCCTCCAGGATCTTCGAGGGGCCATCCTCACCCCTTTGAACCAGAATCCCCACAGGTGTTTGTGGCGCACCTTTTGGTAGTTTGCACAATCCCTACTCCCTCTGAGGTTTGCTCAGAAACTTTATGACACATCCACTTGGGTCTCCATGCTCGTCTGTGTGACGTGTTCATTGCCGCGTCTTGCGTGCCCAGTGGAACCTCAGGACACCTCAGTGAGAGGCCCTGAAAGGCATCAGCCCCATCTTTCTAAACTGAGACACCCATACTCGGACAGACGTAGTGTGATTCATTCAGTTTGTATTTACTGGACAAAAATGAAAAACTGCTCTGGGTTCTGGAGAAGATAGTGACTCTCCTGGGGCAGAGCCGTCTGATAGGGTCTGTGTGGGAAGGCTGATCCGAGATGAGCCAATGAGGGCAGCAGGTCACTGAGCTGGAGACGAGAGCTGATTCTGGAGCATGCTTTTAAGGAAGATTATAATCTTCCTTTTCACTTTGCAGTTGGGCAGTATGTAAGTGCACCAAGGGCTCTGGCTGGATTCTGAAAATAATATCTTCCCCAGTCTTTCAGTCAGTCTGCTCTGGCAGAAACGGGATTCGGATTCCCTGCAGAGGAAGGCCTGCAGTCAGCAGGTCCTGGATAGGGTGGAGAGAGCCCTCACTGCCTCCTGCCTCCACTCTTACCTTGGTTTTGTGCTCTTATTTCCTTGCTCCATCTGTCGTGATCGGTTTACTTTGAAACCCCTACGGCTTGAAATGGAGCTTCTGTTTTGGTTTCAATTGTGAGATGCACATGGGTATTAATGCAGCCAACAGGAGGAAAGCATTCTTTGCCTGTGCTTTGTTAGAGTAAGGAATGCATGGTGTACTTTCTGTCTTCCCCATTCTTCCTTTCTTCACTATTGTCGCCAGTTCTTCAAGCGA